CCGCTTGCACTTCCGTCGCGGTTCTTTGTCTTTTTCCGCGTCTCCGATGCCAACGTGTGCGTAGAGGACAGCGGCGTCGGCCTCAGGTTTTCGGAAGTGCGCAGGGACGTTCGATGTGTCTCTGGGACAGCATTGCGCCGACGACCCCATTTGGGCCTCACCGACACACCGGACGGACGGCCATGTGCATCTCGCGTGGCGACTGAAATGGGGCCTCCCAGGCCCCCTGGGATTTGTCCCTAGCATCAAGAATAGCTTGCGCAAATTAACTGCTGCGCGCCCAGATTAGACAACGTCGGCGCTTGTTAGGCTGAGTCGAATCTCGCGGTTCCGGGTGCGCAAGTAGACCGAAACGGTGAGAGCTAGAGTAGAGGCGGACGAGGATGGGGTGACGTAGGAATACGGTGGTGTATGTATGCCTCTTTCCGCGATCTTTGTGAGCTGCTGACTCTGTTCCAAGCAGCTGAGCCGTCGAGCGAACAGAAGATGCGTGTCGCAGCTGAGCGAAACCAAATCGAGGCTTCGGGGCGCAGCGAAAGGCGACTAGATCCGTGCTTTATCACCCGGAAAGTTTAACTGGTAATACGTAAGTATTGGTTTCACCGCAGGGAGCTCACGATTAGCACAGTAGAACTTGAGACGATTCGTCTTGAACTCGGGACAGGTGTCACGCGACAGTGTTTGGGAAGACTGGACTTCGCTGTCTAGGAGCTTGGTGCGGCACAACATTTAGTTCGGAGATACTTGTGGTTGCATGAGCTTTGGGTGAGCATCGAATGACCCACTGTTTGATGCGTCTCATCTTTCCTAGGAGAAATTATTGGAGCGGGGATAAGCCAAAGACTGGCCACAGTCGACGTTGGAAGAATGGAACGTCAAAGCCAGGTGACCTCGAGCTCGATCCTGGGTTTGGAAGCGCAGTCAACCAAACCATGATAGAGAAACATCTGCCATAAACTGAGTATTTTCCTGAGTGACCGGGGGCCACTCCTTCCCAAAACAGCGCAACGGTCGCACCTGGTCGCACCTGGTCACACGTCTCGGGGCGGAGATCACCCTTTCCCTTCCGAACTGCCTCCGCCCGTGTTGCGAATCGCACTCCATGCGGTAATAAATGTTCGCCGTGATTCGCCCCGTGATTAGCTGCTTACATTATTTAATTAGGGCTTAAAAGCTTGTGGTGCTTTTGTTCCCTTTTCGTCTCTGTCCCCGGCGAGAGTCTACCACCAGGCTCGACGGCCGTGACACTCGTTTGCGCCCATCTCCACTGTTCTCCACATTCCTCGAGCGCGCATCACGCTCCACGACCAGCACACTCCCTCTCCATCCAATCGTGCAAACACCAAACAAAAGCATTTTTTGCCGTGAGCCCTTCGTCGTATACATAAAGCTTGAGCCCACTGATGCATGTTCCCCGCACCGCATCTTCTTCGAACTCCACCGATGCCTTCCCCGTCCCGCCCCACGCCCGCCCCACGATCTTTCCATGCTGTTACACGAAACACTGCCTCCGCTCCAGCCGGATGCCCACATAGCCGCCCGCGATGGCCATCGACGCCGTCTCTGTCTCCCCTGAAGCCTTCCGCGAGATCGTGCGCAACGTCGCGCGGCGGTGCGACATCGCGGCGCTCTGCGGCGTCTGCAGCGGCTTCCGGCGCGCTGCAGAGCCCGCCCTTTACAACACACTTGCGGTGGGCGATGCGGACCCCCGTGTGTGCGCGACGCTCGCAGGATCGCCCCGGATCGCCGCGCTGGTCGTCGCGTTTACTGTGCAGCTGCAGCAGCCGCAGCAGCTGCGGGCCTCGACGTCCGGGAGCGAGAGCGTGTCGAGCGCCAGCCGGGGGAGCAGCATATCCCGCGTTGCGTCGCCGTCGCCCGCACCGGCGCCATCGTTGCCTGTGCTGCCCGACGTGCCTGTGCCGGACACCAGCGGCTACTGGCGCGCCGTCGCCGCTGCACTGCGTAACATGACGCGCCTGCGACATTTGAGGATCGATCTCGCGGATCTCGCGGATGGCGCCGCGGCGCGCGCGTGGGTGCTGCAGGGGTGCGCGTTCCAGCTGCAGACGTTCCACTGCGACTTTGAGTGGGACGCAGCGTTGTGTGCGTTCCTCGCGACGCAGGAGCAGCTACATGATCTGTACCTGCGTGAATATCAGGAGTGTCCGGGTACCGCCACGGACGATGTCCAGGCATCCACTGAGTTGACCTCCGCACTAGCGCCTGCTGCTACACCTGTCACGACCGACGAGGTGCCCCCGCCCCCAGACAACGAGAACAACCAGACTGTCGCCGCACCGGTCCCGCTCCCTCCCCCCGATACACACGATCACACGCCCGAAGCATCCGCTGCTCCCGAGATCCAGCATCCAGACACGCAGGATACAGCTGCTCTCCTCCTCGCCTCCTCGCTCGCGCCCTCCCTCCCGTCGCTGTCCATCCTGGAATGCACCTTCTCCGAGGCCGCAGTGGCGCTCGCTCCGGGGCGCCCCCTCTCCCGGCTAAAAACATGCTTCGGCGAGCCCGCAGGCGCGCCCGCGCGCGACGCCGAACTACGCGCGCTCGTGGGCGCCCTCGCGCGCCGGCACCCCGCGACGGCGCTTCTCGCGCTCGACGTCGGGGCGTACGACGCGCCCGGGACCGCGGAGGCCGGCGCGGCGGCGCTCCTCCACCGCGTCGCGCACACGCGCGCGGTCGCGCGGGGGCTGCGCTACCTCGGGACGCTCGTCCTTCCCGTCGGCGGACACAAGGTGGGTGGGCCGTGCCTTTTGCGTGATTGGCGGCGCGGCCGGCGATACTGACCGCGCGTGGTGCTGTCGTGTGCAGCGGCTGCAGTTCTATGGCCTCCTCATGCGCGTGCCGCGCCTCCGCTGCGTGGAGCTGGACGTCACCGCGTGGGCGCCCGCGCCCGCGGCGCCTGCGGCGTTCCGCGCGCTCGCGGCGGAGCTGCGGCTGTACTGCCCCGCCGTGCACGCCGTCGTCTTCGTGCACGGCGCCTATCTCGAGCGCACGGTCGTGAACGTCGACGGAGGCACTGGCGTTCTCAAGGTCGACAACGACGCAAGGCCCGAGCTTTTCTGGCGCGAGGTTTAATTTTGTGCGGCGGCTTCGCTCGTTCTCTGGACCGACTGCCTGTGCTCTATTGCTATGTCACTTACTCTACGCTTAGTATACCACCTCGCCATTCGTTCCTACTCTCACCCAGCATACCGTACCCGTATACCCTCCATCCAAAACTCCGCATTTAAAATGTATTTCTACTGGCTCGTTTCGCTTGTACATGTATTTTTATTTCGACACATTCGCAGAATTCAATCTACCACACCCAAGGCCATATTTCTCCGGCTATTGAACGAGCGCGGCAAATGCCGCCCTCGGCTCAAGCTCGGCGGACACGTGAGCGTGGCGCGTCGCGTCGCCTGCTCCGCGACGCGTCGCCTGCTCCGCGACGCGTCATTTCGCTCGCCTTCCTGAATTCTTCCGCGTTCAAGTTCTGGGCTCCCTGTGCGAACGCGAGATCGTGCCGACCTATACCCTGGAGGGGCCGGCGGGTAATGGAATAACACCGGGCCACCGGCCTCCATTCCAGTTCTGGGTTAGCGCGGGTGGGAGGTGCATCGCGCGCGCGCGCGTGGCGCGGTCGCACGGATGCGCCTGAGAGCTCGGAAATCTGAGGAAGGGTTTACTACGTGTCTACCCGGTAAATTGACACAAGCCGGCCTCGCGGGTTTCGCCTGCAGTGGCGCAGGAAGTACTGTATCTTCGAGCGGCGAAGAGTGTGTCCGTGTGGAGGTGGGCCGTTTGTCAGCGTAATTTGCGTGCGTATCGGACGCTGGAGCGCCGCCTGTGGGGCCCCGTCACTGCATAATTGTGGAGTCCCTGATGATGCCGCCGGCAGAAGGCGCGAAAAGATGCCGTATTGCGGGAGGGGATGGTGTGCGTTGGGCAAGAGCGTGGCGTCGGTGTGATCGAGAAGAAAGGCTAAACCAAGAAATTCAAGAGTAGAAATTTAGAACGGACGGACCGCGCGCGCGCCCGAGGCGGCAAAGTGGCGAGGCGGATGTAAGTGACTCAGCTACCGCACACGTCACACGAAGAACGAGACAAGTGTAAATTGGTAATGCCTGTTTATGAGAGACTAGGGTTCGGAGTGGCATCAGTCTGGGGGCCTGATCGGGCAAGCGAGCGTGCTGCGTTCCATACACGCGACCTCGCGTGGTTGTTATATTCAATGAAGATATCGGTAAAATCTTCGACCCGGGCTTCATCAGATTCTTCGTCGTGTGCCTCGCGGCTCGACGTCCATTCATTCAGAAAGTGATGCCTGGCTGATTAGACCCGTTCCTGGTGGCATACGCACGCAAAGCGTCTCTGCTCGTCCGCCGGTCTTTTTCTGCTTCCCGCTCCGAGCCTAAAATCCTTGCCAGCCAGCCCACTGAGCACAAGAGAGTTGTGTGTGCTAGATGTAAGACACTTGCGTTATCCATTTTAAAATTTGCCGAGGCCATGTGAACATCCTTCCGTCGGGTATCGCTTCGACCATACGTTGTGCATCCATGTTTCGAGTTACCTCCAGGGTTTCTGCCGTACTCGGTTTTCCCGTTTGTATTACAGTTGATGATCTCCGTTGTCGCATTCAGTCAAGTTTCCATATCCGTGTCTCACCGCCGGGCGAACATTCCGTACGCATACATTCAGTGCCGTTCAATATGACGCGCTTAAGTGTGTTCTATGCCCATCTCAATTGATATATGCACTCAGGTAGTACTTCTGCTTCCAGAATAAAAAGCAATCATTGCACAGCGATGCTAGCATCGATTGCCAGCACATGTGCCAGAAGCTGTCCAAAGAGCATTGAAAAAAAAAAAAAATTGAGATGGCAAGCATGATTATAGAACTGAGAGCGAAAGGAAAAAAAAAGTCAACGACAGGCCGTGCTCGGAATCGAACCGAGGCCACCAGAATTCAGACGTGTGCATAGTCAATCGAGCGAAAAAGTAAGGCCTTGCCCGGGATCGAACCGGGGTCGCCAGAATTCTTTAGCTCAAACGCGAATCAGAATCTGAAGTGATAGCCACTACACTACAAAGCCTGTACGTATATGTTTGGCGAGTCAAGGGGTTGACAGAAGGAGGAGCGCAAGCTGACTTCTGAGGACTCCACCAAGGTAGAGTAAACGAGTAAACGAGTGCTATTGTGCTAACTAGTGAGAACAACAAGGTAGACGTGGTAAACGAGTGGTACAATCATCAGAGTTGGTCAACAAGTGGTAGAGTGAGACGGGCCAGCCACTGAGTGCCACTGGTCCCGCCTGCCTTTCTTCAAGTGTGATTGCCGGTCCAAAGATTCCAGTGTCGAGTCGGACTTGTAGTTTATGGCCTATGCATTTTGAGGAAGACTTTCGAATGGCGCGGAAATGTTGTTGGATGTCGGCGAACTCTCTCTTACAACCGGCGCACTTGAAAGCCAACGCCTCGGGCTGAAAGGCATAAAAATTGTGTGAATGAAAATAACACCCATTACCTCTGGGGAGTCTTCAGGAGGGGGCTGAAGAAACATGAATTGCGCGGGGGCGCGGAGTCGAGAAGTTCATAGCAAGCGGCGGGTTCTGACACGGTGTGACTGAGGCGGGGCGTGACGGGGCGACGAGCGGGTGACGACGGACGAGCGGGTGACGCGACGTTGACAAGCGTGACGTTCGACGCAGTACGTGCCAGTAAGTATGTGGTAGCTACTGGGAGAGTGGTCTATAGACCTCTCCATGGACCATGGACCATACTGTAGTATTTTAATCAATTCGGCACCCGGATTTGACTGTGACATACCTGCCGAAAATTTCCTTTCGGCAGCTGCCAATCAGAGGTGTGACTTCCAAAAAATTTCGTCAGATCCTCCTTGTGTCTTCGAAAATCCCAGTCTGGTCTGTGAATGGCACTCGCGCCCCGCAAGCCGCTCTAGCTCAAAATAATAACATTTTTCCTTTAAAAAATCGGTGTCCCAAAACTTTCGGCAGCTAGGGAGATTCACCGTGACTGCCGAAAATTTTCGGCAGCCAGAGGGTACTGTGACGCGTGACTGACGAATTGATTAAAATACTACAGAAGACCTCTTACCTAATGTGTTGCCTTACCTAATGTGTTGCACCTATAGACGTCCAGCTGGCAGTGACAATGCGTGATGCCTCGGTGATGCCCGTGTGTTCGCACCTGTTCCGCTGTGGTCGCATCGGAGTAGACCTCGGCGTAGACCGGCTCTTCGGCAAATACAGGAGGGTTCACTTTTGAGCTCGCCAAATTACTGTAGTATTTCATTCAATTGATAAGGCCTTTCGGGGTGTGACACGGCCTTACAAACTGACCCTTTCATAAGGTGATGGATGGCTGCGTGACTTACGAAAAATTTTCATATCTACCACTGAAATCCCGCCCTGCAGGGCCGCTCCGGAGGGGTTTTTTTTTCGTTCGCCGAAACCGTTCGTAAAGCCCTCTGGGGACATGTGACTTACGAAAAAATTTCGTAAATTTGAAGGGTCTGTGATGCGTGACTTATCAATTGAATGAAATACTACAGTAACTTGCGCCTGCGCCGAGGGCTCTGTTTCTAATATGCGAAACTAACTTGTCCCACGAAAAGTTAACTTGTGTTAACTTTTCTTGGCAAGACTTGCAAGTCAGTTTAACAACTTGCAAGTGTATATCCTCACATGCTCTTGGAACACTTCCAAGCGTTTCTTGCAGTCTAGAGTGGTGTCAGACCTCAGCCCTACTCTAAAACTGCTCCCTACTGACCTCCCTACTGTATCTTGTACATAATGCATAGTGTGGAGCAGAAATGAAGTCACCTGCCACGAACTGTCTAATTCCATCTTTTCCTTGACTATAACTTGTTATGCCTGCAACAAGAGCAATTATCCGATATCAAAACACGACCAGAATTTATGTAAGCGAAGACAATAAAAATCATCATATACTAGTAACTCTGGGGGAGAAATTAGTAAAGTCAGAATGCCAGAGGATTCACTGGAGGCCAGAGGTACCCTGTATGAGCCTCAGATATTTTGAAATAAGTCTCTGGGCATCGCAATCACCGTGCAAGGGCGCACAAGTTAGTTTGATGGCATCACAAGTTTCCATCAAAAGTCGCCAAACTAACTTGCGTGCTCTAACTTGTGACTAAGTTGTCCGTTTCTCTTCATTCCTTTTGCACTTTCTTTGCAAGCAATGCAAGTAAGGTTTCCACAGACTGAACAAGCTCTGGGCCAAAATAGTTGCGATAAAATTTCTGTGAAATTTCGTGAAACTGGAGGTACTTATGAGCTCGATTCTGCCCTCAGGCTGCATGTCCCCACACATCGTAATTGAGTTGTTGTACGGTGATCACCACAGATGTCCTGACCAACGCCTTGACTCAAGCACAAATCAACTTTCAAGTCGAGAAGGAGACATTGGAGGATAAAAGTGTCGGTGTAGGTTTGAACCGGCACCGGGTCACTTTTGCGGATGCGGAGGACAATGAAGTGGAGTCAGAGGAGGAGTTTGTACCGCGTCCGCGCAGTAAGAGGGCTGCAGCGCCCGTAGAGCGCCGAGTTCAGCCTTAAAGGGAGCGCAAAAAGGTAACGGCCCAGAAGTGAATTGCACAAGGTGTTTTTTTTTCCTGCCACTTTTATGTAATTACTTTCCATATGAGCTTATAATGAATCCACACGGTTTTGTGTCACAGTCTGAGGAGCATATGCTTGACATATTGCTTTGCAGACAACCGAAAGCGTGAATATTGTCGCGAGGGACGGTCAGATCTCAAAATTTCTTCTTCCACATCTGTCAGGACTTTCATTGAGCACACATAGTGGTTTTGAATAGCCCAAGTTGTCCATGGTTGACAAGAACACAGTCCAGTGTTGAGACAAGTGCGCAAGTTTGCCATCACAAGTCATCAGAAGTTGATAGTATATATTTCAAACTCCGCTGTATGGACAAGTTGATCTCGCAAGTTAGAAAAAAAAGTGTCACAATATTCGTACCCAGCAAATATTTCCATACGTGCTAGCTAGTCTAATGTAAACAACGGAAAACGTGAGAAGAATCCATCCTGATTTCCCATTAAAAGAGGTGAGTTGCAACTGTACACGGAAAGCAAGAACAAGTTACAAACCTGGTATCTCATGCGTGTCCGACTAATCAAGTATGTCGGCGGATGGAAAGAAAGATTGGCGGGACGGGCGGCTATGTAATCGGGTTCAGATTTCACTAGTTTTACCACCTTGAGTACAAATAGTTGGGTGAGACATCTAAAACAGCCATCTTGAGGTCACCGCTTAACTCTCAGCACGTGACCGTGGTCCATCAAGTTTACTAGATTGATGTGACGCGTCTGTCGCGCCGAAAGGGGTGTGTGCAGTTCTCCTAAAGCCAACATGAGCATAGCCCCTCCCAAGGACCGACATTCAGGTCAAGTGCGGCACTCTGCCATTAAAGGCCGGATCTAAGTATGGAAGTCCGGACACTTACGCTCAGTTGATGATCATGATGTGAGTCACGGTTAGTCGGAGCCGATCAGTGGTGACATCAGTCCACAAGCGTAAGTGTCAGAATATGATTGTTTCGTTTACATCAGTCCGGGTACAGCTTTATTGATATATCATTTTATCACTAGCATGTGTTCATCATTGATACATGATGTACCTTGATACATCATTACTGATAGTTATCACACACCTTATATACAGGGTCTGTAGCATCACATAGGTAGTCCAATCTATCATTCTTGACATCCTTGTCCTCTGCGCGTCCTCTGTGCCCTTTCCGTGCTCTTGCACCTGCACTCCGCAGCTCGTGGTTCCTTCCGAGACCTCCGGCCTTTGCCACCCCGGCATTATATTTCTGACAGGTTATGGGCCCCGCGCCCTTGCGCTGACTCTAGGCTGAACACAAGTTACGAGAGTTGTTTGTTTTCAGTCTGCCTACAGAATATCACCATCCGCTCGTTACCTTCTACTGCCTTGCTCTTTCCGATCCACCCGATCCTGTGACTACCCTTGTTCCCTCTGGGTCTTTTGCAGATCTCTCACTTCACGCGATGCTCTGGACTGTGGTCCCTCATTGCCTTCCGCCCTTTCATGATCAGGGCGATCTCCTGCGCATCACTGGCATCTTGAGCTGTGTCTCTGCTCGATGTCCTTTCCGCTGGTCTAGCCATCCCTATCCTCTTCCTCGATGCCCTCTGCTCTCTCCTCCTCGTCCGCATCATAGAGATACCACGAGGCTTCATGGAGCTCCGCATTCCCACACCATTTCCCCATATTGATTCATGCTCTCAGGTTTTCCACAGATTTATCTGGGCTTTATCAATTTGTTTGGGATGCATCGAGTTATTGAATTGGGTGGGAGCACCCATTTCCTCTGCTCCTTATGGCTACCTGGCAGCTCTCTTGCCGCCATTCCCCATTATTCCTTGGGTCATCTCGCCAACCTCCATCCGGCCATTCTGTTCAACTCACTTCATGATGTTCAGCATCTTCACGGACTGCAGCTGTTTTGGTGCATCATGCAGAACTGGCGAGACTTGCTCTCCCCTGTGATCCATTCAACTTTCTTGGGAATGTTTTCCCTCTGCGGCTTGCTCGATGCGCTCCAAGAGTCTTTCGGGTGTAGCCTGAGTCAAGAACTCAGGCCCCACCATGTATTGGCGCATGCTATACTGGATGCACCTCTGCCGAACTGTATGAGAGTTCAGTTCGTTCACAGCACCCCATCTTCCTTCGGTGATTTTCGAATCTTGTGGTGACGGAGACTGTAGCCATTCGTGTTTGGAAACCGACTTGGCCTGTGTGGGTTGTTGAGATTGCTCAACAATCTGGTTTTTGGTATCCCTGCCTGGATCTCTTGGTGACGGAGACGGTAGCCAAGTTTGGTTCAGATCTGGATCTGAATTTTTGGGTTCTGGGTACGCTTTGGTTCTTTCGTATCCTTTCGTGTGTTCCATTCGGTGGGAGCCTGTACACACTCTTTCTTTGGATTGATTTTTTCTTTCTCCATCTACAGTGTCCTCTTCCTTCGTAAAGGTGGGAGTGTCAGAATATGATTGTTTCGTTTA